GTCCATTTCATCTAGGTTATGAAATTTGTGGGCATAGAGTTGTTTATAGTATAGTATTTTATACGTTTATCAGATCTGTTGTAATGTTCCCTCTTCATTTCTGATATTAATAATTTGTGTCTTTTTTTTTTTCCTTAGCTTGGCTAGATATTTATGATTTTATTGATATTTTGTTTTTCTCTATTGATTTCCTGTTTTCAAGTTCATTGATTTCTGCTATACTTTTCATTCTGTTTCTTTTGGTTTTAATTTATTGTTCTTTTTCTGTTTCTTAAGATGGAATTTTAGAAATTGAGTTTGGATCTTTCTTTACTTCTATATGTATGTATTCAATTGTACCATATCTCACTAAGCACTGCTTTTGCTGTATCACACACCTTTTGGTACATTGTATCTTAATTTTCACTTAGTTAAAAATAAGTTTTAATTTTTCCTGGAATTTCTTCTCTGACCTATGTGTTATTTAGAAGTGTCTTGCTTAATATCCAAGTGTTTGGGGACTTTCTTGCTGTCTTTTTGTTATTGATTTCTAGTTTAATTTCATTGTAGTTATATACATATGTGGTTAAGATATAAAACATGCATTTATGCATGCTAACAATGTATATTAACTCCAGTCCTTACCTTTAAAAGGAGAACAAGAGAGAGAATGGGCTTTATATCTGTAATAATTGGTTCTTTAAAAAAACATCCAAAACTTTGAAACCAGAAAGTCAGCATGTTTTTTTTTTTTAAATCTCAGTAATAAATACATAGGTATATGTTATTTTTTGCACTTTTCTGATATTAGAAGTGTTGCATAATTTATAATACATGCATGTGAAAGAAAAAATAATTGCAACTCTGTGATAAGAAGTTTGTCTTTATTTTTCTTGCCTTTGTGGTTATTTTTATTTTTTATTTTTCCCATTTTAAAGAAACAAGTATTTAACCCCCTGTGGTCATTTAGGAAAGCTTTCTGTAGAAGGCATCGATTGAAATAAGAAAGCAAAGGAGCTTAACTTAAAGAGTAAAAGAGTGACTTTCCATGGCAGAAGGATTGGTGCTTAAAAATCATGGAGTCAAGAAAGGGAAAAGATAGCTCATAAATTGAGGAAATGGAAATTGAGCATAACTGGAAACAAAGAAGGGGCATGGAGGAGTAATCAGTAAGACCAGACTGTCATTTTAGACAGAACCCATGTGATGTGCAAATACGTTTGGACTTATATTTGTGGATTGGTGTTTCCCAATTCAGGTTGCTTGTCAGAATTAACTGGATCCCATTTCAGACTGATTGCACTAGCATTCAGTCTAGGACTAGGACACTGTTCTTTAAAAGCAGGATGCTGTTCTTTAAAAATTTTTGCCTCATCTGTTTTCTGATTTCATTCTAACTACTCTCTGAAACAGATCTATGTAATGGAGAATTGCAGGATTACACAAATTTATCATGTTAGTTTTTGAATATCTTTATTTAGAATTCAGCACCTCTCCTATGAAGTGATACCTTCTGTTTCTGCCCCATTTGGCTGAGGCAAATGGAGAAGAGCTACACTAAAATAGTTGTGTTCCATTCAGAGATGCTTACTCTGGAGGCTTATTATTCTCCTAGTCCCTCCAGATTTTTATGAGATGAAAGTCTCCATATAAATTTAGATTAAATTGCAAAACTAAATGGTGTGCAGTCATGACCTGTTCATCATTGCTGACCATGGGAGCTTTTAAAGGATTTTTCAGCAGTGTGATCTGATAAGCTTTATGTTTTGTATTAGGGGGAAGGGAGGCGAGGGAGGAGATCAAAGGCAAGGAGCATTAGCAGTATTCCAGGTCAGAAATGATATCAGTCCTTACTAGAGCTGTGGCCATAAGAAGTTATGGATTTAAGGGAAAATTAGAAGATAGTATGTAATAAAAATGCTCTGTGAGTGGACTTTTTTTTTTTTTACAGTAGTTTCTAAATTTATTTTATTGGTATATTCCTCCCCCAGCTTTATTTATATATATAATAGAAAATTAGTTGCTTGTATTTACATTGTACAATTCAATGATTTTTTTTCAATTATAGTTGGCATACAGTAGTATATTAGTTTCAGTTGTACGGCACAGTGATTAGAGATCTATATAACTTACTAAGTGATCACTCCACTAAATCTAGGACCTCTCTTCTCCCTTACATGTTTATTACAACATTATTAACTATTTTCCTTATGCTACAGTTTACATCTCCATGTCTATTTTGTATCTATCCATTTGTACTTCTTAATCCCTTTGCCCTTTTTTGCTACCCACCCATTTCCCCTCCTGTCTAGTAGCCCTCAAAATATTCTCTGTATCTATGAGTTTATTTCAGTTTTTGCTGTTGTCATTTATTTTGTTCTTTAGATTCTGCATGTATGTGAGATTATGTGATATTTGTCGTTCTCTATTCAACTTCCTTTATTTAGCACAATACCCTCTAGATTCATCAAGGCAATATCTTTTTCCATCCCCTTCCTTTTAGACTATGTGTGCCTTTTAATCTGAAATGACTCTCTTATAGGCAGCATACGTAGATGTCTTGTTTTCTTATCCATTCAGCCACTCTGTCTTTTGGTTAGAGCGCTTAATTCTCTTCCATTTGAAGTACTTGTTGATAGGAATGTAGTTACTACCATTCTTTATTCCTGTTTTTGATACATGTTTTTTCGTTTTTTCTGCTTAAAGAAGTCCCTCCAACATTTCCTGTAATGCTGGCTTGATGTTGATAAATTCCTTTAGTTTATTTTTGTCTGGGAAGCTCTTTATCTCTCCTTTGACTCTAAATAATGGCTTTGCTGGATAGAGTATTCTTGGCTGTAGATCCTGGGTTTTCATCATGTTGAATAGTTTGTGCCAAGCTCTTCTGCATAGTTTCTTTTGAGAAATCATCTGCCAATCTTATGGGTGCTCCCTTGTAGGTAACTAACTGCTTTTCTCTTACTGCTTTTAAGATTCTCTCTTTGTCTTTAAGCTTTGGAATTTTAATTATACTGTGTCTTGATGTGGGCCTCTTTGGGTTCCTCTTTCTTAGGACTCTCTGAGCTTCCTGGGGTTGTATGTCTATTTCCTCCACCAGGTGAGGGAAGTTTTCTATCATTATTTCTTCAAATAGCTCTTGAACTTCTTGTTTTCCTTCAAGTACCCCTAGGACCCAGATATTTTTACACGTAATTGTGTTCCATAGGCTCCTTAAATTATTATTATAGTCTTGTCTTCTTTTTTCTTGCTGTCCTGATTGAGTGCCCTTGGCTTCCCCATTCTCTATAGCAGTGATTCAGTCCTCTTCTTTATCCACTCTGTTGATTCCATCTAATATACTCTTCATCTCAGATAATGTGTCCTTCGTTTCTGACTGGTTGCCTTTTATAATTTCCATTTCCATTTTTATGTTTTTTATCTCTTTGTTAAAGTTCTCATTGAGTTGATCTACTCTTCCTCTAAGTTCATTGAGCATCTTTACAACCAGTGTTCTGAACTCTGCATCTGTTAGATTGCTTGACTCCATTATTCCTGGATCTCTGTTCTGTTCTCTCATATGGTTTCTGCTTCTTTGTCTTCCCATTTTGGTTGCCTTTCTGTGTCTGTTTCTCTGTACTAAGCAAAGCTCATGTGTCTTCCAGTCTTATTAGTGTGGCTTTGTGTAGTAGGTTTCCAGTGACACAGTCCTGAGAGGGGTTCAACTGCAGGCCAAGTTTAGCCCCAGCCTGTGCCCCTCCAGGGCCACTTGTTAAGATTCAGCAAGCAATCTACAGATACTGTGCTTATGGTTGCTTCAAGAGGCCACGCTAGAAACCAAGGCCAGCTGCTATCAGTGTGAGTCTTGGCACTGCTCAGCAAGGAACACTGAACTCAGCAGAGGATACAACAGGATGTGACTTAGGTGGGGCCGTGATTTGAGGGAAGCAGAGTTCAGGGAATCTTATGGGTGGAGCAACCTTGTTATCCAGTTTGATGGTATCTCAGCTATGGTGGAACACTGTCTACACACTTGGAGTGGAGAGGGCTCAACAGAGGAGCAATGGATACCACCTGGCAGTTTTGCCTCTGGCTCTTACTCTGACAACTCATTGTCCCCCTTTAAGTTCCTGATGCCTCCCGTGCAGCCAATTGGGCGCTGGTGCTCAGAGCAAGCAGGTCCGTCACTGTGAAAGTCCGCTTACAGACACAGCTCCTTCCTTTAAGACGTGGCTGGAGCTGCTGGCTGCCGCTGTTGTAGCCTCTGTCCCACTCAGCTGCTGGGGACTGGGCTGCCTCGTGTCTTCACCCCCTACTACCTTCTACCATGGCAGAGTGATTTCTTATTTCTCTTCCTAGTTGTAGTGCTTCTGTTCATCTAAGTCCCAGGTGACTCTGTTTGCTGTTTGCTCTGTGTTTCTGTCACAACTTTGATTTGGTTGCATTAGGGATGAACAAAGCCTTCATCATCCACGCCTTCTTTTCTGCCTCCTTGATTTTCATTTTTAATGAGTTTGTGGAATTAGGCAAGGACAGGAAGAAAGCCTGAGAAGTGGGGAGAGATAATAGGTTCTAGATTATGTAAACATACCAAATCCTTATAGATGAAGACTTAAGTAGTTTTAATTCTTCAGTATATTTCCAATCTCAGTCATGGAAAATATTGGCGAAAACTAATTAACAACCTGATTTTATTTTTCTTTAAGTTTTGGTAATAATCCCTTATCTAAAATTATTTTATGGTTCTTTCTGTGAGTTTAAGGTCACATGACCACCTAACAATTATTGTTTCTAAAGAGAACCAATGGACTTTGATCAGTGGTAAGAAGAGGATTAATGAAGAGTTCTATCTTATTTTCCATTATTAACCTTCTAATGTAATAAAACTCACTAGATTTTGGATTTATTTACTATCAAGTTAATAGAAGCTTTTCATTAGAAAATATAAAATCTCATGAAAGAAATACCATTTTAGAGTAAGGTCTGATTTATGAGTATTTTCTGATAGAGATGAAGTATAGGAGTCTTTTTTTTCTTATCCATAGGGCAAAAGTTGGATTGTTAAAAGAAGTTATGAAGATTTTCGAGTACTTGATAAACATCTTCATCTATGTATTTATGACCGACGATTCTCCCAGCTCTCAGAGCTTCCCCGTTCTGATGCCCTGAAGGACACTCCAGAGGTAATCATGATATTTAAATGAGCAGAAAATTTTTCCTGTATACTAAATAAATGCTTACATTGAACATTCAGGATGATTCCTGGGATTATGTAATTATTTCATGACTGAAAAACTAGTAATGTTATATAGGATGTTTAGTAAACTAGGTTCAGTGTATAATTTTATAAGGGAAAAAGCTCTTATAAATGGGCAATATATATGGGCAGACCATTTTACAAAGAGAATGTAAAATCTGGAAGCAAAACTATGGAAAAACATTCATCTCGCTAATAAAAATATAAAAGATTTAAATAAATTTTTTAAAAGGGAATAGATTCTTTATAACATCAGAAAATAAAATCATCGGGGAATGAAAAATTGTGAGGAATGTTTGAAAGTAGATGGGATGGGGTAAGACTTATGGGGGCAAGAAATTTAGCATAAAGTACATGTACAAGAGGCGTGCTAAAGACAGATAAACTAGAAATCTTATATGTAAAAACAATGTAGTCGTGCACTGTATGACAACATTTTGGTCAAGAGTGGGCCACATATATGACAGGTTTCATAAGATTATAATGGAGCTGAAAAATGTCTGTTGCCTAGTGATGCAATAGCCATCATAACATCATAGCACAACACATTACTCAAGTGTTTGTGGTGATGCTGGTGTAAACAAATCTGTTGTGTTGCCAGTCATGTAAAAGTATAGCATATACAATTATTCACAATACGTAATACTCTATGATAATAAATGACTACGTTACTAATTTATGTATTTATATAGTATACTTTCATCATTGTATTAGAGTGTACTCTTTCCACTTAAAATTTTTTTTCAGTATGTTATGTTATGCTGGCAGCAGCCTCATGTCATCTCATGTTTACCACATCTCTTGATTGCATCATTTGCTCTTGTGCTTGATTTAATCTTATGTTGTTTATGCAGTAACGTGCTGTATAGGCTTGTAGCCTAGGAAGAATAGGCTGCCCCATATAGCCTAGGTGTGTAGTAGTCTATACCATCTAGGTTTGTGTAAGTGCACTCTCTGATGTTCACACAGTGATGAACTTGCCTAAGGGTGCATTTCTCAGAATATATCCCCATCAGTTAAATGGTGTATAACTATAAACAAAAGAGCTGAGAAGAGCAAACAAGGGTTTGAGGAACATGATTATTATCCTTAGAAAGAAAATGAGGCAATCACGTTCATGGAATGAGCAGATTTTCACAAAAATTAAACAGTCAGATCTTAAAAATGAACATACGGTCATTTAAATTAATTTTAATGATAGTAAACCTGAATAACTGGACTACATTCAAAAGAGACACAGATGAAGAGAGAATTAGTGAGCTGGGAGATCAAGCTTTATAAGATACAGCCCCAAAATGGATAAAAAGATGAAAAGTTGTGAGAGAGTAGTTGGGAATCAGAGAGAGTAGATCCAGAAATCCCTGTTTCTCTTTTCTTAGAGTTATAAGAAGAGAGTGGATGGAAGTAACTGAAAATTAAGAAATATAAGAAAATCCTCTAAAGCTAAAGAGAGATGTTTTTAGATTAAATGTGCCCATGAAATGCTGAATAATGAATGAAAAGACATACATTTAGAAACATATAGTGAAAATTTTAAATGCCAAAACAATACCCAAAAAGCTTCTAGAGAGCAAATAACAGATTTTTGCAAAAGAACAAGAATTGTATTGGCATTAGACTCCTCAGCAGCCACAGTAGATATTTGAGAACAGTGCAAAATATCTTCCACTTACTGAGGGGAAGCCATTTCATATCTATAATTAATTCTGAGGCAATTAAGTAGGTAGGACAAAATAGTGGCATCATCCGTCATGCAGAACTAACACTGCAGCGGAATCTCAAGAATGTCTTTTAACCACTAGGTCTTTTGTCTTATAGAAAACTTAGAAGTCTATCTCCATTTCTCATCTCTGTCTATCTGTTGCATTTTTCTCTGTCATACTGTCTCAGAACATGGTCACTACCAACAAGTCCCAGGTTTTTATCACTTGTAAGACAGCAGCCAGATTGAGCTGCAATTTTTTATCACAATTCCCAATTACTGCAATAACCCTTGTTAGGTAAGCTCATGTTCTATCACATTCCTGGACTAATTAGCTGACCCATGGTGTAGGATCATGTATGAACATGGCTGTCCTGCCATACCTGAGTTCATGGAAGATTACTGTAGGTCATGGAGAAAAAATTTCAGAGTACCTGGGGGAAGCTGGGCAGAAAAGCCAAGTATGTCTCTGCTATAATTATCTTTTATATTTTCAATACAAAAATAGAAAGAAAAAGCAATAAAATAGGAAGCAATAAAATAGTATATCCCTTGATTATGAGGGGCTATGAGTTAATGTTCGATAAAAGATAGGGAATTACATGTAATTGTCTGTAATATGTTATTATATGTAGGATCAGTTCATGGAACTAAGCCTTTGTAAAGGATCTCTGTAACTACTAAAATACTAAAAATTCTGCAGATTTCCTATCTCCCCCCACCCTAGAAACAACTAATTTACAAGTTCTGACAGAGAATGTAGTATTTTTACTCTGATTTACCACTGAATTTTCTCTTTCTCTTTAGTCAGTCACTCAGATGCTTATGGCTTACCTGTCCCGTCTTTCAGCTATTGCTGGCAACAAGATCAACTGTGGACCTGCCCTTACTTGGATGGAGGTATTATCTAATTTACTACTCATTAAAGTTTATTTTTAAGTTGTCTACTTAAGAAATTTAATATTAGATTAATTTTGATAGATGTTGAATTTCAGGAATCGAAGAAATAGAGTTTATTCTCATCTTCTAGAAGGAAAGATATGTGACATTACATAATTTTCAACTCAGATGTCATTTTTTGATCATCTAGATAACTAATTTTAATATTGTTTTATAAATTGCAATGATTCCCGTTATTTTGGTGTATTAATGTATACATTTAGAAAGGTATGTTTATTTTTTTCAGTTGATTTAGCAATTGAAAATATGAACAAGAGACAATTAACGTTTTAAAAGATCCAATTTAAGAATAAGTCTTGAGTGACTCTGGTCAAGATGGTGGAATAGGTAAACTCGGTGTCCACATCCTCCCACAACCACAGCAGAATTACAGCTAAATTATAGAACCACCATCACTGAGAACTATTTGAAGACTAGCTGAATGGAAGTCCTATAACTAAGGATGTAAAGAAGAAGCCACATCAGGACTGGTAGGAGAGGCAGAGGTGTGGAACGAGGCTGGTCTCACACCCATGGTGTGGCAATTAAGAACAGGGAGGGATGTCTCAGATATAGAGGTCCTCCCTGAGAAGTGACTGGTTCCAGCTTCACACAGAGCTTCCCAGCCCAAAGCACCAGTGCTGAGAAGAGTAATCCTCCTAACAGCCTGCTGTGAAAACCAGCAGGGGTTGTGTTCGAGAAAGATAAAAGAATGCTAGAGACTGAGGTGCTCATCTTAAAGGACCGTGCACAGACTCATTCACTCACAAACTCACTCACTCTAAGCTCCAACATAGGGGAAGCAGCTCGAAAAGTTCCAGGGGCACATGAGGAGAAACTAAATTGATTAACTTCAGGGCAGGCATTGGAGTGGCAGACATTAGAGCAACTCTCCTCATGCACAGAAGCACTAGCAGGCGACATTGTTCCTTTGTGGACCTCTTCTTTTACCAAGCCTGCTCAGTGCAGGAGAGTGCCAAATATGAGCTTTCCATTACTATGGCTAACAACATTCACTCCACCCTAATTATTCCCTGAGGCCCCGCCCACCACATTGCCTGCCTGACCTGAGACTCTTCCAGCAGTTCCTCCACGCAAGCGGCCTGCCTTGTCTCACACTGTAGACTTTCCCAAAATGTCTCAAAGTTCTGCAAACCCCAAACAAGCAGCAGCTGGCCTTGGTGTGCCTCGTAGTTATTTTAAGTGGCTTCAAGGCCAGCACAAGCATGGACTGGTCTCAACTTGAATTGTAACTCCCATCAGGTGGCCCTAACTTGGCATAAGCAGCAGCCAGTCTTGGCCTGGAACGTAGCCTTAATTAAGTGGCCACAAGCCTGGCACAAGGGGCATCTGGCTTCAGTCCACAGCATAGCCTCATAAGTACCTCCAAGCCCAGCACAAGCGACAACCAACAGCAGATCACTTTGTAGCTTCTACCAAATGTTCCAGGACCAGCATAAGTAGTGGCTGACCTTACCTTTCACCAGAGCCCCTCCCAAGAGTGTCTAAAATCAACATACCTGGTAGCCAACTTAATACCACATTAGCTCCTCAAATGACACACCTGAAGTTGTACTCTCAGGCACCAGAGCCCTGCTAAAGCTACTTCCACTCCATGGAGTCAGCACCCACCCAACAACTTGTTCACTGTAGTCATGGCCAGTACTCAAAGGCAGTCAGCCTGAGGTTTAACCCCAACCACTGATGTACCAGCAGCAATCAGGCTTAACTACAACAGGAAGGCACACACAGCTCACAAAGGGGACACCCCTGGAGCACCCGACTCACGTACAGGGAGACTACGCCATTGGGCCCCACAGTATACTTTCTACATAATGCCAGTCTGTAAAGACAAAGACTCATGGACATGGATGATAATTTAGTGGTTACTAGAGGGAAGAGGGGATGGGGGAAAGAGAGTCAAATATATGGTAACAGAAGGAAATTTAACTTTGAGTGGTGAATATATAATGCAATATACATATGACATATTATCGAATTGTACACTTGAAACCTATATAATTTTATAAACCAATGTCACCTCAATAAATTTAATTAAAAAATAGACCGCTATAAACATCACTTAGTATATATAAAGCACATGGTAACCTCAATCCCAAAATCTATAAGAGATATACAAGAAAAAAGGATGGAAACCAAACATAACATTATAGAAACAACACTAGGATAGCAATACTTATATCAGACAAAATAGACTTTAAACCAAAGGCTGTAACAAGAGACAAAGAAGGGCATTTTATAATGATAAAAGGATTAATCAAACAAGAGGATACATCTCTTGTAAACATATATGTATTCAATGTTGGAGCACTTAAATATATAAACCAAATATTGACAGACAAAGGGTGGTTGACAATAATTGTACAAGTATTTAATATTTCATTGACATCAATGAATAGATCATCCATTCAGAAAATCAACAAGGAAACAGTACACTTAAATGACACATTAAACCAGGAAACTGCAAAACACCCAAACATGTGGAGGCTAAATAACATGTTACTAAACAATGAATGGGTTAACAGTGAGATCAAGGAAGAAATCAAGAGGTACTGTGAGACAAATAAAATTGAAAATACAGTGACCCCCAAATCTATGGGATACAATGAAAACAATTCTGAGAGGGAGATTCATAATGGCTTACCTCAGAAACAAGAAAAATCTTAAACAATCTAAGCTTACACCCAAAGGAACTAGAAAATGAAGATCAAACAAGTCCTAAAGAGAATAGAAGGAAGGAAATAATAAAGATGAGATCAGAAATAAACAAAATAGAGTCTAAAAAACAATAGAATAATGAAACCAAGAGATGATTCTTTGAAAAGATAAACAAAATTGATAAACTTTTGTCAGACTTATCAAAGTAACGAGAGGGCCCCCAATAAATAAAATTAGAAATGAAAGAGAAGTGTAAAATGACAACACAGAAATACAAAGGATTATAAAAAAATGCTGTAAACAATTATATGCCAACAGATTGGGCATCCTGGAAGAAATTGAGTAAATTAAAAACGCTCTGCCAACCGAATAAAGAAGAAATGGAAAATCTGAACAGACCAATAACTACTAATGAAATTAAATCAGTAGTCAAAAAACTCCTCCCCCACAAAAAGTCTTGGACCAGATGGCTTCACAGGCAAATTTTTATGAAACATATAAAGAAGAATTAATACCTGTCCTCAAAATATTTCCAAAAATTGAAGAGGAAGGAATGCTCTCAAACTCATTTTATAAGGCAAACACTACCCTGATACTAAAACCAAAGACACTACCAAAAAAAGAAAATTACAAGGCAGTATTCCTGATGAACATAGATGCAAAAATCATCAACAAAATAATTACCAAACCAAATTCAGCAATACAGAAAAAGGTCATACACCATGATCAAATGAGATTTATTCTTGGGATACAAGGTTGGTTCAATATTCACAAAACAATGTGATAAACAAAATGAAGGATAAAAATCCTATGACCATAGCAATAGATTCAGAAAAATCATTTGACAAAATCCAATATCCATTTATGATAAAAAATTTCAGCAAAGTGGGGATAGAGTGAACATACCTTAGCATAATAAAGGCCATATATAACAAAGCATAGCTAACATTATACTCAATGATGAAAAGCTGAAAGCTTTTCTTTAAGATCAGAAACAGGACAAAGATATCCACTTTCATCACTTTTATTCAACACAGTATGGGAAATACTAGCCACAGTAATTAGAGAAGAAAAATAAATAAAAGGCATTTAAATTAGAAAGACGTAAAATTGTCATTATTTGCAGATGACATGACACCATGTATAGATTGCACCAAGAAACTATTACAACTAATAACTCAATTAGTAAAGTAGCTAGATTCAAATTACTATTCAAAAATAAGTTGCATTTTTAGACACTAATAATGAACTATTAGAAAGAAATTAAGAAAACAATCTCATTTATAGTTACATCAAATGAATAAAATACCTAGGAATAAACTTAACCAAAGAGGTAAAAGACCTATACTTGGAAAACTAAAAGACATTGCAGAAAGAAGTTAAGGAAGATACAAGTAAATGGAAGGCTTTATTGTGCTCATGGATAGGAATAATTAATATTGTTAAAATGTCCATACTATTCAAAGCAATCTATCGATTTAGTGCAATCCCTGTCAAAATACCAGTGGCATTTTTCACAGAACTAGTTCAAGTAATCTTGAAATTTATATGGAACCACAAAAGACCCCTAATAGCTAAAGCAATATTGAGAAAGAAGAACAAAGTTGGAGCTATTATCCTGCCTGATATCAAAGTATATTACAAGACAATAGTAAACAAACAGCATTTTTACTGGTATAAAAAAGACACATAGATCAATGGAAGAGAATAGAAGTCTAGAAATAAACCCACACCTGTATGGTCAACTCATCTATGACAAAGAAGGAAAGAATATATAATGGAGAAAAGACAATCTTTTCAATAAATGGTGTTGGGGAAACTGGACAGATAGATATAAACAGGTGAAACTAGACCGTTTCATTGCACCATATACAAAATAAACTCAAAATGGATTAAAAACTTAAATATAAGATCTGAAATCGTAAAACTCCTAGAAGAAAACCTAGGCAGCAAACTCTTCAACATCGCTCTGAGTAATAATTTTTTGGACATGTCTTCTCGGGTAAGGGAAACAAAAGCAAAAATAAACAAATGGGACTTGCTCAAACTAAAATGTTTTTGCATAGCGAAGGAAACCACCAACAAAATGAAAAGACAACCTACTTAATGGAAGAAGATAAAGGGATTAATATCAGAAAAAGGGTTAATACCTAAAATGTATCAGGAATTCATACTCCTTAACACCAAAAGAACAAACACTTCTATTAAAAAATGAGCCAAGGACCTGAATAGACTTTTCTTTAAAGAGGACATACAGATTGCAGCAGACATATGAAAAATGCTTAACATCCATAATCACCAGGGAAATGCAAATGAAAACCACAATAATGTATCATCTCGTATCTGTCAGAATGGCTATCATCAAGAAATCAGCAAACAACAAATGTTGTCAAGGATATGGAGGAAAGGGAACCCTCATGCACTGTTGGTGGGATTGTAAGTTGATTCAGCCACTACAGAAAACAATATGGAGTTTCCAAAAAAATTAAAAATAGAACTACCATATGTCTTAGCAATTCTACTTCTGAATATTTATCTGAAAAAATCCAAAACACTAATTAGTAAAGATATGTGCACCCTTATGTTTATTACAGTATTATTTACAGTAGCCACAATATGGAAGCAGCCTAAGTGTTCAATAGGTGAATGTATAAAGAAGTGTTATATACATATACATAATGGAATATTATTGAGCCATAAAAAGAATAAAATCTTACCATTTGAGACAACATGAGTGGACCTAGAGGGTATCATGCTATGTGAAATAAGTCAGAAAAAGACAAATATATGATTTTACTTATGTGTAGAATCTAAAAACCAAATAAATGAACAAACAAAATAGAAAAAAAGAATAAGTCTTGGGTTATACAGTATCTCGTAAATAATAGATATTTTTCCTATATTTTACATGCAGTTATATGAGGTCTTGACTTATTTGTGCGATCATGGACAAATTCTGTAATCTCTTGTAAACTACATGTCTTTTAGCTTTAGCATCTTCATATTTAAATGATGATAGTCCTGATAAATATTTTTAAGAGTTATGAATGTTAAATTAAATCATATGTTATATGTATAGCACAATGATTGGCATATATTAAGTACTCAATAAATGGTAGGAGTTTTTTTTTTTAAAGGTTTTTTGAGCGTTATAGTTTTACCTAAATTAAATCAGATGATCTCTTATAGATAGTCTAAGAACCTTTTGCAAGAACCATGTCTTTAACCATCACATAGTACATTTTTTTGTTGTTGTTGTTATAGATTGATAATAAGGGAAACCACCTTCTAGTACATGAAGAATCATCTATTAACACTCCTGCTGTTGGTGCTGCCCACGTTATCAAGAGGTACACTGCTCGGGCCCCTGATGAATTGACCTTAGAGGTAAATGCCTAAAGATGCTATGTGTTAGCTCAGTCCCTGCTATGTTTCCAGTCTCATCCTTGACTGTTTTATTCATTTTTCATTTAGAAGCACCAAGGTTTTCCATAACCCATTATCTTTTAGCTTGGAATGCCATCTATTTTTATTTAAATGACTGTACTATCCTTGAAAATTCAGCTTCAGTGTCTCTCATTTCTTCTAGGAGGTCGTCCTTGATATCTGTCCCCTACTCCTTGCAAAGACATACCCCGCAAAAGTCTGGATTGAATGTCATTCTGAACCATTTTCATGGCTTATCTCTGACATATCACTTAATTACATTCGATCATAATTGTTCTCTTTTTGTCTATGAGAGCTTCTTGAAAGCCAGGTTTCGGGGTTTTTTTTCTTTGTTGTGTTTTTAGTACCTAATAAAAACCAATACCCAATGATACTTTTTTTTCTCATTGTTCAGAGATTGAGTTACAGTACAGGTGAGAAGACAAATGAACATTTCTTGCTTTCAGATCCAAAAGGAGGGAAATTGAATTTCTTTATTTAATATTGACTGATGATAAACAAAAACCAAAATTATGACAGTTATTCAATTTAAGAAAAAACAGTACAAATTTTACTGTATAGAATATAAACTGTTCTCAAACTCAGTTTTTACATTCTGTACACAAAGGAATGTAGATCCTGAAAGATGCCAAGTCTGTTAGCAAAGATGGCTTTCTAAGGTGACTCTTTCCTGACTTGAAAAATTAGTCGTGAATATAAAAGAGAAATTCTTAAAGCAGTATTGTACATTTAGTAACATTGTTCTAATGTACTTAACTTTGTTTTATCACAGAGCGCTTATTTTGATGAAAGAATATAACTTCCAATAAATATATTATTGAAAACTATTATTGAGATTTTGTATTTATGATTCTGTACCAGTTTGTTTAAACTCACTGGTTTGTTCAAGTGAAGGTAGTATGGTATTTAGCAGAAATGTTTTATTGTACCATCTGTTGAAAGAAGTGTAGTTGTCATCGAATTTTATGCTGAGAACTACCCAGTTAATTGTTGATCTTTTAGGCCATTACTATATGATTAAATATGATAATGTGAAGTGCTCAGCACAGTGCCTAGTATATGGCAAGCACTCACTGAGTGTGGTATTGATAGAAGCTGCTGTTGCTCTAAATATGAGTATTTAAAACTATCTTTTATAAATGAATCTCATCACTTTTAGTAATAGCAGTAACAGAGTATTTTAACAGAACTGTTGATGATGTGTAGCCTTCAAAAATCATATGCTGTAAGTCTGGCCTTCTGAAGTTACTAATGCGATAATTGGATCACAGTCTTTGTGCTGCTTTACTTTTTATAGACTTTTCCTTAACAAATGGTTAAGATTATTAAATTCTTTACAGAAAAAAATATTATGTTTTTTCATAAACAATTATCCCAAGAATCGGATAGTCTTTTGTTTCATTTCAGATTTAAATTCTAGATATAACAATTGGTTTATAAATTGACTAAAAACATTTCACTTAAATTTTTTTCTCCTAGGTGGGTGACATTGTTTCTGTCATTGACATGCCCCCCAAAGTGTTAAGCACATGGTGGAGAGGCAAGCATGGATTTCAGGTAGGCAACAGAATTAGGTGCGGAAAAATTCAAGACTTATTATGTCTCTCTCCTTCTAACCCTGAAATGAAAACCACTCATTTCTATCTGCATAGTTTTTTTTTCCAACACATCATATAGTTGGAATCATAAAGTACGTAGCCTTTTCGGACTGGCTTCTTTCACTTTAGCAGTATGCATTTAAAGTTCTTTCACGTCTGTTCATGGTTTGATAGTTCCTTTTTTAAATCACTGCCTAATATTCATTGTTGCGGGTGTGCCAGAGTTTATTTTTCCATTCACTTATTAAAGGAGATCACTTATGAATAATGCTGCTTTAAATATAAACATCCATATGCAGGTATTTGAGTGGATATATTTTCAGGTCCTGTGGGTCAATATCAAGAAATGCAATTGCTAGATCATATTGTAAGCCTGTGTTTAGCTTTTAAGAAACCAAACTAGTTTTACCATTCCAGCTTGGTTGTACCGTTTTGCATTCCCACCAGCAGTGGTGCTGCTTTGCTTTCTCACCAGCGTTTGATAGTGTTCAGTTTCTTTGGATTTTAGGTGATCTAATAGGTGTAGAGTGGTATTGCATTTTTGTCTTAATTTGCAAATAAAGTCTGTCCAAGGAATATCATTTACTAACTTAGAAAGGGTACTATATTGCTATCTTCATTCTTCTATTATCAATCATTCTTTCTATTCTTCCTTTGCCACAGATTCTCAATCTTTAGTGTATGTAAGAAGCACCAGGGGGACTTGTTAAAATATAAAATTACAGTACTTAATCCCCCAAATTCTGTTTCAGTGGGTGTGATTTTGGCTCAGGTGTTCATCAGACTTCTCTTCTAGAAATAGTGGTTATTCTGCTGTAGATAAATTCTGTAAATCAGCTGATAGTTGATAAAGATCAGCATATGCCAAGCTCTAGTCTATGTATTGTTTTAGCCTATAGTTTAGCTATGAGAACAAAAGGATTAGTTCATCTGTGTTTTTAAATTATGGCATGACTCTGTTTCTTTTCTTAAACTTCTGAGAGTAGGAAGTGTTAAATTACATTAACTACAATATGAAATTCTGAAATCTGTTCTTGATTTTTTTTGTCTCCTAAAGAGTATTGAATCTTATATCTTAGTTTTCTGAGGTGCTTCTTCATATTATGTACTTTAGCAAAAAAAAAAAAAAAAATTTTTCTTTATTTTTAAATCTTTTTTCAAACTAAATGGCATGTTAAACTGATATTACTAATCAGAATCTCAAGGGATGGAGAGAGGAATCTGAATTTTATCAAGTTCCATAGATGATTTTTAAGCATAAAATGTGAGCTTATCTGTGTACAGATAAAACAAGAAATTAAATCCAGTTTAGCAAATGTTCTCTTTTCTCCAAGAAAATCTTCCTTAAAAAAAATTGGGGGTAAGTTAATCTAGTAGATAAAATACCATTTAGAGTTTGACAGCATTTTTTTAGGCAAGGCAACCCTTAGTTGACCTCACAGATTGCAAGGACCTTGTTGGTTTACAAATCCCTTATTTTTTATTTAATTACACCTACAGCACCTGGTCTTCTAAGTGGTTTCCCATCCAAGTACTAACCAGGCCTGACTCTGCTTAGCTTCTGAGATCAGACAGGATCGGGCTTGTTCAGGGTGGCGTGGCCGTAGACTAGCATTTTTTTTTTTTTTTTACAGTCTCTCTTCCACAGAGCAGCCAGAGTAAGTGATTAAAATGTAAATCAAATCACAGGGCTCCACTATTCAAATCCACACAAAGCTTTCAGTCACACTCAGAATAAAATCCAGAGTCCTTGCAATAACCCACAAAACCCTACAGAATTTACCTTTTACCTACCGCTTCTAGTTCCTTTCTTCTTTTTCTCTCCTCATTCCTTTCCAGCCATTCTGGTTTTCTTATTCTCGAACCTTCTGTATTATGAAAATAATGGAATTTCCCTCTTGATTGGTTTCTAATAAGTTTAGAGCTAAATTTTTGGTCTCTGTCTAGTAAGACTATAACAAGACATATTTTTTAAAATAATTTTTAAATTTTCAATTACAGTTGGCACACAATATTATATTAGTTTCAGGTGCACAATATAGTGATTAGACATTTACATAACTTACAAAGTGATTATCCCGGTAAATCTAGTACCTATCTGACACCATACATAGTTATTACAATATTTTTGGCTATATTCTTCATCTTATACATTATATCCTCATGATTATTTTCTAAGTACCAACTTCTTAATTCCTTCTCTTATTTCACCTACTCCTTTACCCTCTCCCATCTGGCAACCATCAAAATGTTCTCTGTATCTGTTTGTTTTGTTTGTGCATTTATTTTGTTCTTTAGATTCCATCACTTTGAATATTTCAAGCCAATCTCTCTGGCCTGTAAAGTTTCTGTTGAGGAATCAACTGTCAGTCTTATGGAAGTTCCCTTGTAGGTAACTAACTGCTTTTCTCTTGCTGCTTTTAAGATTTTCTCTTTGTCTTTAACTTTGGTATTTTAAAATTATGATGTGTCTGGGTATGGTCCTTGAGTTCCTCTTGTTTGGGCCTCTGTGCTTCCTGAGCTTATATGTCTATTTCCTTCACCAGATTAGAGAAGTTTTCCATCATTATTTCTTCAAATAGATTTTCAATTCCTTGCTCTTTTATCCTGTTGGTACTTCTATATTGCAAATGTTGGTACACTTGATGTTGTCCTAGAGGCCCCTTAACTATTCTCATTTTTTTGGATTCTTTTTTCTTTTTGCTGTTTTGATTGGGTGTTTTCTGCTACTTTATCTTCTAAATCGCTGATTTGATCCTCTGCTTCATGTAATCTACTCTTGATTCCTCCTAAGGTATTCTTCATTTCAGTTATTGTATTCTTCATTTATGACTAGTTTTTTATGTTTTCTCTTTTCATTTTTATGTTTTTATCTCTTTGTTAAAGTTCTCACTGAATTCATATACTCTTTCCTATGTTCATTGAGCATCATCATTATCACCAGTATTTTGAACTCTACATATGTTAGATTGCTTGTCTCCATTTTGTTCTTTTTCTGGAACTTTTTTCTGTTCTTTCATTTGGGACATGTTTCTTTGTCTTCTCATTTTGGCTGCCTCCCTGTTTTTGTCTCTGTATTAGGTAGAGCTGCTGTGTCTTAGTAGAGTAGCCTTATGTAGTAGGTGTCCTGTGCGGCCCAGTGTAGTCTCCCTGGCTACGTGAGCCAGGTACTCTAAATATGTCCCCTGTACCGATTGTGTGTTCCCTCCTGTTGTAGTTGAGCCTTGTTTGCTGTGTGCACGTCAGTGGGAGGGATTGACCCTCGGATTGATTGGTTGTGAGGACTGGCCGGTGACTACAGTGGAAGAGCTGTTGTGTAGGAGCTGACCCTACGGAACAGGATTTGCTTTAGCAGCTTCTGATACCTTCACAGTCTGCCCTTTGGGTGTGTCATCCTCTGATGTGGCCCCTGGTGGTGCATGCTGGCCCTGAGGTCTCCTGAGAAGGGCCTTACCACAGCCCCAAATCAGCCACAGCCAATACCCTGGCCTGGGCCACCTGGCATGAGCCACCAAGCAATCTTCAGATGGCCCCACCCATGCTGGGCCTGGATGTGCCTTGAGAGGGTAAGCCATGAACCGAGGCCAGCTGCCGCTAGTGCCAGGCTTGGGGCTGCTCAGCTAGAGGTACTGGGCGCACCGAGGCTAGATGCTGCTTGTTTGAGTTTTGTAAACCCTTGAGAGAATTTAGAAAAGTCCACAGCATGAGCCAAGACAGCTCATTTGTATGGAAAAGCTACAGGAAGTGACTTGAGTGAGCCCAAAAGTTGGGTGGGTTCTCAGGGAATCACCAGAGTAGGGTGACCAGTGTTAGTTAGTCAGGTTGATTGGCAGGCTTCTGTGTCTGCACGCTTGGAGGAGCGGAGCGCCTAACGAAGGAACCATGGCCTCCACCAGCACTTCTGCCTGGAAGAAAGCTGCCCCTCCAGCCTTGCCCTGAAGTCAGACAATTCAGTTCCTTCCCATATGTCCCTGGCTCCTTTTGAACTGCTGTCTCAGTGCTAGAGCTCAGAGTGAGTGATTCCATTAGTGAGTCAGTCCACACGTGGGCCCTTTAAGAGGAATGCTTGGCACTCCAGCTGCCCTCCATCTTACTCAGCTACAGTCTTTGCTGATTTTTACATCCAGAAGTTGGAACTTCTCAGTGCTAGAACTGTGAGCTGGAGAGCTTGGTGCTGATCTGGGACTCCTTGCTTCTCAGGAGTCCTCCACAGCCTAGATATCCCTCCCGATGCTCAACTGTCATATGTGGGTGTGGTACCAGCCCATTTTTCGTCTCTACCACTCCTACACATCTGGAGGTGGCTTCTTCTGTATGTCCTTAGTTGTAGGACTTCTATTAAGCTAGGCCTCAGGAGATTTTCAATGATGGATGTTCTGTAGTTTAGTTGTAATTTTGATGTGGTAGTGAGAAAAGGCAAGCACAGCTTTATCTGCTCCACCAGTTTGACTCTGCCTCTAAGACTGACAGAGTTTTATATAGCTCACAGTCTCTTGGTTCTCCACAAGATGATCAAGGTCAGCTATTTTATTTTTCACTTATCCCAGAATGTTTCATGAGTATTTTTGTGCACAAGTATCAGAGAAGCAATTCTTGGACAATAAAAATGTTCTTAACCTCAGGAGTTTAATGTGGTTCCAAATAACTTATTTTTGGAAAAGTATTTTTTATCCAAAATGGAAGATATTTGGAAACCTTGTCCCTGTAGTAGTTTAATGGAGGAAGGCAAATTATCTGCTTATTTATATAATAATCATTATATTATGTATGGAATCCAAAGATATACCTTATCATTATTCAAAATTAAATAGAGCGAAGTAATTTTTCTATTGTTCAGTAATGGGAAATTGTGTACTGTAATTTTTCTTAGTAATGTTATATAATTTCAAGAGAAGAAGAAAGTATGTGATACTACAAATAAAAGGAATTTTAACACTTCTTAAACACTTCTTACCTGTG